GTTCTTGGCAGAGGGTGTCCTGGTTGAATAGCCATGGAGAACAGAGAAAGGGGCTTTACCTCTTCCTAGCTGGGTGCACTTGGGGAAGTAACTACCCTCCTGTAGCTCCTTGGTGCCAGGTGTTTGAAAATGGTACCTGTATGCATACCTGCTGTCCTTCCTAACTCTGGGATTTGAATCAGGGGCTCCTGTGAAAGATGCTGGTAAAACTTCAGGTGTTTTACAGGTGTGGAGAAAGGGGCGTTGTTCTCTTGTGCTTGCTGACATGGAGGGAAAGAAAAAACAAAAAACAAAAACAAAAATGAAAGCACACCCCAGACTTTACATTTGTAGACTTTAGCCTCCTGGAAATATATGATGGGCATGCTTTCTGAATATAGTAGTTTGTGGATTTCAGTGAGTGAGCCTTCTATATCTGTGTGGGTCCTCCTCTTTCCCTACTCCCAAGAGAAGTCTTTAAATTCACACCGCAGAGGCTGCCCTCTACCTGGGCTCTATCCTAGTGATTCTGTTTAAGGATGGGCTTTTAGGATGGTGCTGATAGCTTAAAAATGACTGTGAAGGTGCTGGTCAATTACGTGGTCCTCACATCTTTTCATTCTCTGGTGGAAAGTTATGGCAAATCTAATTGGAAAAAACTCAATAGCCTCATCTACTTTCACTGCAGATCTCACAGACCCCATTTCTTCCTGCAAACCTTTCTACTGTCTTTTTTGGGGGTGTGTGTGCTATGATGCACTCCATCTTGCACACTCTAAGCATGCTGCTAAAGCACTGAGCTACCCTGCCAGAACCCCACTGTCTTCAAGAGCATCTTCATTGACTGGTTCATTGTGCCCAGGCAGTCTCTGGATGCAGCCTGCTCTGTGTGGACTTTTGACACTTCTGCACTCCACCCAGTCCGTGTTTCTCAAACGCTGCAGGTCTACCGCCAGTGCCCTTCCCGGGACATGCTCGTTTTTCAGTAGATGGTTTACAGACCCCAAGATGTACAAATCTCCTTGATGGCTTTTTTCTTGTCTTTTCTTTTTTTACTGATGCCCTGTAAGGTGTGAGTTTGTTTGGTCCTAGCCACTCTGACTGAGGAAGGATGAGGCCCCGGAGAAGGGAACCAGAAGGTTCTCAAGACCACCTGACTTCAGGGTTTCACAAATTTCCTGCCCATTGGGTCCTAGAAAATCTGAAGGCCAAAGGAAAAAGACAATCAGCCTCATTGGAGAGTGCCTGTGACTAAAATGCTCAAAAACCCGGGATGGCAGATCTCACATAAGAGTCAAATCCTCCCTAGTGAGTCGCAATTCCTCTGAGCCCCTTGTACCCAGAGTGCTCATGTTGGTAATGGCAAAGAACAGATTTCTCTCTTGGCTTCATATCCCTTCCAAACTTGATACGTGTGAGAAACTGCATTTTTCCCCTCCCAAACACAGATAAAAGTGAACTCCACAAAAATTTAAATATAAACCTTCCAAAGATGAACATTTCCTACCCATCTGACTTTCCTTCTCCTAGGTCATGGTTTTGCCACCAGATAAATCTCCACTATCAGCCTTCATAGCCTGTTGAGTTCAATGTTGCTTGTGTTAGTGACAGTGAATTTGCGTTTGAAAAATGAACTACCGATGAGAACTCCTGTTGAACCTGTATTGTTTGTTATTCTGAGGCAAGGATTTGGCCCAGCTTAATCCCGGGCTTCAAAGCCAATTGCCCTTGCTCTGTATACAGAGCGTCAGAGCCCAGTGGCGTGGATGATAAGAGAAGTAAGGGTTGAAGACACTGGGAAAGTGGATTGGGGAGAGAGTGCTTTGATCTCTTCTTAAAGTATTTTCTGAAAGCAAAAGTCTATCAGAAGGAAGTGCCTTCAAAAAAAAAAAGTCCAAGCAAAACAACTGGCCTTCCCAAACAGCACCCATTCCAGACACCCTCCCCTCAACTCTTCCCTCAGAGAAAATATGTCTTTAACAATGCTTTGGATGTATTAGAAAGGCAATCTCTCTCTCTCTCTCTCTCTCTCTCTCTCTCTCTCTCTCTCTCTCTCTCTCTCTCTTCTCTCTCTCTCTCTCTCTCTCTGGGTTTCAGAAATCATTTGGCTCCAAAAGGTCTGGCCAGAATATAGGCAACCCTCACCCCCCCTTTGGTTGCTGTCCACCCCTTCCCAAAAAGACCGCAGGATTTTAGGGAATAAAATGATAGGCAGAATTTCCAGTGATCCCCTGCCTTTCTCCTGCAGGTCATTTTGCATTTTGTTTCCCTTCACGATTCTAAGATAGGAGCCACGTGTGTGTGTGTGTGTGTGTGTGTGTGTGTGTGTGTGTGTGAGAGAGAGAGAGAGAGAGAGACAGAGAGAGAGAGAGATTTAATTTCATTTAAATGTAGAGTTCTTTGAAGTAGAAAATTTCTGCAAGAGAATGCAGCTGCATCTGAAGTTTACAGCCCTATAGAATTAAAAACAAACAAACCAAAAACAAAAAAAAAAAACAAAAATATGAACCCAGCGTGTAACAACCGTTCAGATCAGAGAGAACCTCCCCAGTCCCCCACTATTCTTCCTGCGTGCCCTACGGGTCACCACCGCTGCCACCCTGAAAACCATTTTCCACACTCATCGCCGGCTCCGGCGGTTTTAATGTCTGCATTTAAGGGAAGGCACGTGTAGCTGCTTCAGGTCTGCTCCTCAGGGAAGACAGGGGCTGCGGTGGGTTGTGTTTTGGGGTTCAGCTAGGTAGGAAGAATCTGGTGTGGTTCCAAGATCTTCATTTCCTCCCTGTCCCCGGCATGGGGGAGCGTGCACTAATTGGGCGCCTTACATTTGACAACCATAAGACCCAGAAGCCCAGTCATCCCGATGCGTCCTCTCCCGGGGAGTTCGCATTTACAGATTTGTGGCCAAAAGCACAACATCCCCCAACCTCGGGCCTGCACACAGAGGAAGCTTATCCTAGCAGCTCATTCTAAAGCCATTTCCGAGTATGAAGCAGATAAAGGCTCGGGCCCGGTACCCTTTCAGAGCCGGCTGCTGATCAGAGGGGAGGTCCCGGCTTTCATCTGCTCCCGGCGGGCGGCCAGGCGGCCGGCGTGTTTATTCCCCTGGCGGAGCCGCTTCCGCGCGTGCTGGCCGCTGTAGCTGTCTGGGGACAGCGCGGGTGCGGGGACCCGGGGTGGTGGGGGGAGAGAAGGCGCGGGGGGCACTCGCGAAGGGTGCGCGGGCCGCCTGGGGCGCAGCGACAACCAAAGCTAGTGACAACCTCCCCTCCTGCTCCGCCCTTCCAGCCCTGAGTCCCACCCCCGCCACTGTAGGGTGTTGGTTTTCAGGTACGTTTAATGTCATAAATCAGAAATAACTTATAGCTCACAGGATCGTTTCGCGTGTTTCATTAGGAGGACCTTTCCTTTGCCAGTAGAGCGCCGAGGAAGTCTCAGCTCCCAAACTCAGCCAGAGGCCTGCTTACCCGACAACAGCCCTGTGGTTTGGGTCTTTGGGTTCCAGCAATAGCCCTGTCCCAAATCAAGGGCAGATGTCTGTGCGGTTGGGGGTGCCATTCCTCACCTTTCCATGCAGCCGTCCACCCCGGACAGGCAACTAGGTGTTGGGCATGGGGTAGGTGGCAACGCCTGGGGCCCCCACAGTGTGGTCTGCAGGTCCCAGAAGCATGCCTTCAACAAGCCTGGCTTAGACCTGGCCATCTGTTTGTAAGTGGGCAGTTCATTGTGCTGCAGAGGGCCCACACCAGATACCCTACCTGCCCTCTCAGCCGATGCCCTCAGAAGAGGGGACCTGGTGGCAGAGACCGGGAGGTACTCTCTTTCCCTATACCAGTGCCCCCAGACCTCCCCCAAAGTGGCCCCTGGAAGCGGGAAGACCCTTGCCCTAAGCCTTGGGAGGCAGAGTGCAAGAATCTCAGGGATTTCTAAGGAGTGCTCGGTGTCCATCTGACCCTTTGAGCTGCTGAGCACAGGGCAACATGGGAAGTCCAGGGTCCTTAGTCCCCTTTCCTTCCAACCTCTGCTGTTGCCACCTGTAGCGACTGACTCCCTGGGCCCAGCTAGCCCAACACAGCTAGGGCTGGCCCATTTTGCTGCTGTTTCTGTAGCAGTTACGAAATGGTGGCCTGGTGGGGACAGGGTTCTTGGCCTTCCCCCAGGGAGGGAGAGGCAAGGCAGCTGCTGCCCTCTTCTTTTAGCTTTAAACCCACCAGGTGTGAGGCCGGGCCAGGAAACAGCCTGGCATCCACTCCAGCTGTGCCCCTATGCTGGGCAGGGGGCTGGTTCGAAGAAGGAGGCCAGATTGGGTTCCTGAGTTCTCTGACTTTCCCAGCATCCTTGGAGAGGGGGTGGGGTGGATATTTGAAAATGCTTTCAATTGACATCTGAGACAAATTCTTCCACACGGTTTATAAGTCCCTAGACTTGCTGCTAGAACTGCTCCCCCCACCCACCCCATCCGCCCTCGAGGCACGCATACAGGCACACATGCGCACTTGCCCCATATGCTCATGCACATGCGCCTGGGCCGCCCTAGCCGCCTTTCTCTGCAGTGTGTACCAGTCTTTCCTGTAGCTGGAGAGGTGCATAGGGTGGGCTAGGCAGGTCCTGGAGGGGAACCAATTCTTCCAGAACCCTTCTGCTCAGGGTCCCAGTGTGTTGTGGGGTCTGCCAGTTTGTGGAGACCTTCATTTTTCAGGAAGTCCTACCCTATCCAGGTAAGCTAGTACTTATGACACAATGGAGGTGGCCACATCCAATCTGAGATATTCGGGGCAGCTTCTTGTGAGGTTCTCTGCTTAGCGAATGGCTTCCTGGTGTGATTTGATCCTCAGTACCACAGTGGAGGGTGGGTTGAGGTTCCCACATCTCTATGGCTTCAGTCAGGTTTGGACCCTGCTTCTTTTCTGGGAAACCTCTTAGTGATTCAGGTTTTTTGTTTTTTTGAGACATGGTTTCTCTGTGTGGCCCTGTTTGTCCTGGAACTCACTCTGTAGACCAGGCTGGCTTCAGAGATCCACCTACCTCTGCCTCAGGAGTGCTGGGTTAAAGATGTGCACCGCCACCACCCTGCTGATTTTTTTCTTTCTTTGAGAAGGTTTTGGTATGTAGTCTAGATTGATCTCTAACCAGAAATCCTACTGCCTTAGCCCGACTGAGCCCTGGAATTATAGGTCAGGATGAATGACCACGCTGATTTTAAATGTGACTTGTATAATGTCGTGATGATATCTGACCCAGGTGGTGCTAGGCAAGAGGTCTACACCTAGGCACCATCTCCAGCCCTCATTTGTGGCGAGTCAGCTGGGGGGACTCGAGGCACCCTATGGGGGAGGGGGTGCTCTGCTTAAGTAGGAGCAGAGGGATCTGTGCTTCTGCAGGTTTGTATGGAGGTGCCGAGGGCCCTGGGGAAGCTCTTCTCAAAGTTCCATTAGGGTCCTGGATGGTTTCACCATGGGCTACAGGCACTGGAAGACTCATTTTTGTTGGGTCCATTTTCATAGAAATAGGCCATACCACGGTCTTGTGGGAGGTGGAACAGAGCAGGGGCTGGAGGAAATAGTAATGTTATCCTCACTTGAGAGGTAGGGAAACTGAGGCACAGGAGATCCAGGCAGGTGGCCCGAGGCTTAGCTGGTTAGTGGTGGGCCTGGCTGCCATCAGTGGCAGACTGATTCCAGCTTCCATGTTTTCGCCCACGAGGCTTCTCCCCTTACTTCCTGGATTCCTGGATTCTGTATGGCCTGCGTGAAGGATCCTCCATGAGAAATTCCCCTGCAGCATACACAGGAAGAACCAGGCTCAGCAGGCTTGTCCCTGAGTTCTCTTTCCTGTGAGAAAGGCATCTTATGGCTGTGGGAGCAGCTGACAGTGGCTTCCAGGTCAGCTGCACTAGTGCCCTCTGATGTCACCTCTGAACTTTAGCTGTATGTAGGCTGGCAAAGGGCTGGGGACAATGTAAGGCAGCCAGATTGCTACTGAAGTGCCCTGTCACTGTTCGGACCACGGTCTCTATGCTTCTGTGACTCACAGCTACTGGGTCCTAATCTTGAGGGATTTCTGGGGTGGGACATTTGGGGAGAGGTGTAAGTTGTCTTTCTGGATGTAGTTGATAGTTGGTGGGGTCTGGTGTAGTTTGGACAGCTCTGTCCTGTGGTACATTGAGGGCGAGAGGGAAGCAGACCATGACTCTTGCTACCAGGGAGGGCTCCGTGTGTCTGCTCGTACATTTACCTGCCATTTCTCCTGCTGTGCCACCTCCTTGACCCCTCAGGAGGATGTTTCCCAGCTACAAGGTAAAAGTCACAGGCATGAACCCCAAGACCAAGTACATCCTGCTCATTGACATCGTCCCAGCTGACGACCATCGCTACAAGTTCTGTGACAACAAATGGTAAGAGGCCCAGGGCTATCTTTCCTCAGCTGTCATTCCTACTCTTGATTCCAGCCGGTTAGGCCCAGATTCGCTTTGCTGGTCCGCGGCCTGTGTTTTCAGCACCAGCACCATCAATGGCAGGTGTGTGGGCTTTGCTGGCCCTTCACAACCGGGCCCTAGTTCCTCACAATCATGGACAGACAGTCTTGCGCTGTGTGTCAGGAAAAGTGCTAACACCTGGTGGATTCAGGCACTGCTGACGCCTTACTGAGGTAGAGAATGGGAACGGCTTTTTTCTTCACAAACTTTCATAATTTACCGACATCACTTGGTTTGAAGCTTTCATGTTTCTGTCTGGCTTTAGAGTCTGACCCCCTCAGCCTGAGGGGTCTGTTACCTCAGGCCAGTGGGCTCTGGAGGAGAGGTGGGCAGGTTGGAGAGCCAAGTGAGTACCACATCTTGGCACTGTCCTTGTCCCTAGAACATCTGGCTGGGGCTCTGGACTCCATGGTGGCAGAGGTCATAGAAGCAAGAGCTAGGTTAGAACTGAGCACAGGCTTTGGATTGGAAAGTTGTTTAGGGCCTTTGAGAAGTTCCAGCTGACGCATTTATAATACTGAAAAAGTAAAAATATATAAGGGCTGTGTGTGTGTGAGAACAACGACGCGGTAGCTCACGAGTTAAATAAAACTTATAAATAAAATACACAGAAGTGCCTGACTCTCCCTGAAATATCTTTATAAACAGCCCCAGTGTTTGCAATCAAAGAGCCTGCCTTCCTTATCTCCCTCCTAATGCAGTGGAGTAAGGAGCTGAGAAGTGCCGACTCCTCCTCTCCCCTCCCCTCCCCACCCCCCCTGCACCAGCATTGGCTATTAAAACAGCTAGTGTGCCTCTGGGCCTTGGTTTGCTCTCAGAGAGAGTGGGGAGTTAGGCTTCCCCAGACCCCAGGGAACTCAACTGCTCTGCTTTATTGATAGGATGGTTGCAGGGAAGGCTGAGCCAGCCATGCCAGGAAGGCTTTATGTCCACCCAGACTCTCCCGCCACCGGGGCCCACTGGATGCGGCAGCTGGTCTCTTTCCAGAAGCTGAAGCTGACAAACAACCACCTGGACCCCTTTGGCCATGTAAGAACAGGGATGGGCTTGGTCTTGGGAGAGAGAGCGGCAGGAGGGGGTGGGTCTTACGGGTTTGAGGATGGAGATAGTCTACTTTTTGTCAGGCCTCTGACCCTGCAGATCAGCTGTGTGTATTCCTCCTCTCCTCAATAGCTGGTGACTCTGGGTACCCGTCTCAGCCTTTCTGAGTCTTAGTTTCCTTGTATAGAGAATGGGGTTGACCGTATGTGCCTTTCCTGGTAGTGAGGCCTAGATGAAAGCGTATGCAAACAGTACCTTACAGAGAAGATGGAGATGATGGTGATGATGGTGTCAGTGGTGATGAACATGGAGATAGTGCTGATGATGACCACACTGGTGGCGATGACCATGGGGTGTGGTGGTGGTGAGGATGACGGGGATGACAAGCCAAATCTCTCAGGTTTAGTTTTCTAAAACCTATTCCTGATAGATTCTACAGATGTGGGTTCTGAAGTCTCTCTGAATGTTCCGTCCTTCTGACTCTGGAAGGCACAGTTCATCTCTGGCTCCTGGCTGAGCCTCTGCCTGGTTGCCTGGGGTCTGGCATAGGTCAGGACAGTGGTGGTAACATTAGGAGTGGCAGTAGTGCTGCCTGCAAACACCCCAATCCCAGCTTCTCGGGCTCATTCTTTGCCCGTCTGGCCCTGGCAGGCACACAGAAAGGAGCTTTTTATGTGGAAATCTTTAGCTCAAATGTGCTGCGAACAGATGCCTGGCAGCTGGTGTCACCTTCCAGGGCTTCAGACCCTGCCTCTGTGGATCCCTGTGATTCTCTGGTAGTGTGGTGTGGGGGTGTGGGGGAACCCCAGGGCGTGGAGGCCGCTAGGTGTTTGTGATGCGTCACGCCTAACACAAAGGTGGATGGGGACAAGAGCACAGGTCTCTTGAGCAGCTCAGTCGGGATACAGAGAAGAAAAATCCGTTTTGGAAAATGCTGCAAGTGCTTCGTCCTGATTGAGAGGAAGCAGCTCCTGGTTTCAGTTTCTGAATGGGTTCAGCTTTCTTCTTGGTCATTGGTGATGTAAATACACACCTAGAGTGCTGAATTCGCCAAATTAGCCTTCTCTGTTTTACATGTCTCTATGCTGGGTTTCCTATGCAGGGCAGGAAGATCCCAGTGGGGAGGGAGGGTCAGCCAAGCACCAACTCCCAGAGCAAATCCTGGCCAGGTCTCTGCCCACTTGACTTCTGCTGGAGCTTGTCTGCTTGGCTGGACTGTGGTATCGGGCTTACAAGATGGGGGGGGGCTCTGATGCTGGCAGGGAATGTAGACAGGACCCTCTAACCCTGCAGGCTCCTGCAGCACTGGCAGGATGGGCAAGTCAGGAGCGTGGCAGGTGTGGGCGGCTGAAAATACCTAAGGGTTTGGATGGAATCTTGGGTGCACCTGCCTGTTGCCATGGCTCCCAGCTGCAAGGTGCTTCCTAAGACAGTCCCGCTTCCCTGGCCCAGCAGAAGACGAGAGGAGAGGGTACCCGGCTTGGAAAACTGGCTCTTCTTGAGGAGGAGAAAATCCTGTGTCTTCTCAGTGGGGACTGCTGTGCAGGTTGTAAGGCTGTGGATACCTTGGCTTCACTGGCCCTGCCTATCTGGGACTCATCTCTTTGGCAATAGAGATTTTACCTCAGCTTTCACCCCGAGGATGGGATGAAGGCCTCTGTCCCCTCCTTATGTCTTGACCTTGGCACTTGGCATTTATTGTCCACTACACCCTTTACCTTGTTAGAGCCGAGGAGGTGAAAGTGACTCGGGAGCCCAGGGGTAAAGAGGGTGGACTTGAACCCACACCTTCTGCTTCTTAGTTCCAGCCTCTTGTAGCCCCTCAACCTGTCTTTCTGGACCCCGGGCTCTGGCTGTCTTCTAAGGGCATTGGTAGTAACCCTGCAGAGGGGGCAGCCTGTGGCCATGGAGACAAGGGCTGTGGTACTCAGGCTCGCTTCTGGGCCTTATCAGGGCAGAGCAGCCCTTTGGGACTCCAGCTGTTCACTCTTATTCTAGAGGGAGTTGGGAGCTTGAAGGGAAAGGGGAAGAAGTTGCCCTTCTTGGCTTCGCAGTCCAGGAGCCCAGGGAAAAGCCATCTTGTACTAAGAATTTGACTCAAATAAACCCTTCCTTCTGCATAACTCACCCCACAAACTAAAAGCTTCCAGACTTGAAGGAATTTTCCCCAGCCCAGTGGACATGGGTCTTATCCCTGGGATTCTCAGAGTATCCGAGGAGCTCTAGAAGCTGCTACCCAGTGGTGACCTTTCTCCACTATGTCACCAAAATGGCTGGAACCTCTCCCTGGGAAAGGGCCAGCTGAGGGGTGAGATGGGGCTGTTCCATCTTAGAGAGGGCCACAGCTAGTTCCAGTGGTGTGAATTACCCTGGGGTCCTCCACATGGGCTTAGAGGACCCTAGCTTAGACCTCTTCCAAGCCAACCCACGCCATCTCCTGACTTCAGAAGTGGCCAACCAGCCATGTGTCTACCGTTGCATAAAAGCAGAAGGGAGCTGTGAACGTAGGAAGAGCACAGCGGCCATTTGGAGTCTCCATTTTATTGAGGTTCTTTGTCTGCAGGACTTATCCTTCATGAATGCTCTTTGGGCGTCGCCTTCTCTCCCCCACTCCTCTATTCTTTCCCTCCTCTTGCCCTCCTCCCAGCTCCCCTCGTCTCTCCTCCCCTTTCCCTCTTCATCCTCCTCCTCAGATGGTATGCAGGGCTTTGTCCATGGCAGGCAAGCATTCTACCCCTGACCTCAGCCTGACACTTTCCTTAGTTTTGTGAGGACCAGGAAAGGGGGTAAGGTATGAGGGTTTGGGCTTGGCAGCCAGTCTTTCACGACAGGTGGGATCTGGAACAGGAACTTCTCTCAGACCACATGGCTGGATGCTCCCAAAGTCAGGGTTGAGTCCTGACTTGAAAAACCTGTGGAGTTAAACAAAACTTCTTTAAAAAAAATATAATGTATGTGGATGTTTTGTCTGCATACCTGGTTCCAGAGGAGGTCAGAAAAGGGCATTAGATTATCTGGAACTGGAGTTACAAATTCTTGTGAGCTGCTATGTGGGTACTGGGATTGAACTCAGGTCTTCTGCAAGAGCAGCCAGTGCTATATTAGTTGCTAAGCCACCCCTCCAGCCTCAACTTGTGAGACTTTGCAGCAAACGCCCACGAGGAAACTTCTAGTAAAAACAGTGGAGAAGGAGGCTCACGAGGGCAGGGCAGATGCAGGGTGTGACCTGGATTTTGTTATGACCTGGAGGAGGCAGGAGGAGCAGAGAGGATCATGGGAGTGAAGCAGAACACCTTCAGCTGCTGTCATTCTGCTGCTGTGAAACAGACTGTCCATCATCTCTTGCTACTTCCTTCCTCCCCCTGACCCTCCAGTAGGACCTGGCGTTAGGTGGCCATGTGATGGAAATAAGGCATGTCCCCTCTTTTCTCCCCTAGTCTAGCAATACTTGGGCTTCTAGAAGTCAAGTAGGGCTGGAGTGGATCCGTAGGCGCTGGCATGAAGGCCTTTCTGCCAGTCTGGACGTGGGAAGTAGATGTGTGCGGTAGGCATGCATATTTACCAGGGCCAGACCTTTCAGCTGCTTCAGCTGGCTGAAGAGAAAGGGGCACCTCACGGAGTGAATCTGACTGGGGAGGGCTGAGTTAACAGCCCTCATCTTAGGATTTTTTTTTTTTGGGGGCTTGGCTTTGTTTGTTTGTCTTGAGACAGGGTTTCTCTGTATAGCGCTGGCCATCCTGGAACTTGCTCTGTAGACCAGGCTGGCCTCAAACTCAGAGATTCATATGAATTTCTTAACAAGACATAGGATACACTGGGGACAGAGAGCAACATCCCAGTGGCGTTCCAAGGTAGGATTCCATCAAAGTTTACCCTGAGGGATAGTGAGTGAGTTTATTGGTTTACTTACAGAGCACAGATAATGGGGTTACTGACAGGAGTGTGGGTGCTCCTCCCCCACCCAGAGGCTACACTGAAAAATCTCTACCCAATACAGATAATGATTTTCCCATTCGCTGCTGCATAGATGGTGCCTCTTCCCCCAACCTCTCTCTGGAGGCCATATGTAATTAGGGCAGAATGGCTTACAACTAGCTGCATACTCTGGTGAGGATCCCATGACCCAACAGTCAACAACAGCTGGCACCTTCTGCAAGGAGGCACAGCTGAGCGCACCATGATGGTGGCAGTTTGGCTCAGAGGACAGTCGTGTACAACACCTCACCTGCCTGACATCCTGCTACCTTCCGGTGTGGGTGATTTCCCCATCCAATTTGCCTTCACTTACTCCTTATCCTTGACCCTGAGTTCAACTACAGGTCCTCTGGCGAGGAAGCACAGGCTCTCTTTGCTCTCAGAGCACGTGTACCTTTTCATCCCTGTTCTTACAAAGTTGTGTCTGAGTACTTGTGTCAATACAGTTAATTTCTGAATCAGAAATGCAGTCACATTGATTTGAAAATAAGTCACCGAGGAGACTGGGGATGGCTCAATTGGTCCCCATAAGACTGAGGACCTGAGGTAGATCCATAGCCCTCATGTCAACAAGTCCTGCACCTCGGCATGTGTCTGTCACCGCCAGCACTGTGGGTGTGGAGACAGGTGGACCCCTGGCGCTCACTGCCTAGTTCCCAGAATTAAGAAACACAGGTTCAGTCAGAGAGCCTGTCTCAAAAAGTAAGGTGGAGAGCACCCGCGGACGGCACTGGATGGTGACCTCTGGCCTCCACATGCACACGTGTGCACAAACACACACAGCACAAAGCACAGGAAATTAATCGCTGACTAAACCAAAGTGTTTTTGCTGTGGTGTGGTTAGCCACCGGCATTGTTTGGCACAGGCTGTGATGTGAACAGCGGACGTGTGCTGGTGAGCCTTCGTTTAGAGAGAGCTTCCTCTTCCTCTTCCTTTTCCTCTTCCTCTTCCTCTGCTGCTGAGCTCCACTTTTCTGTTGCTCCATGAACCATTTCGGTGTTTGCTTGTTTTT